TTAGCTGCTTCTGGGTCACAGTTCAGCCTTTGAATTTGCTATCCTGAACGGAGTCCCTGAAGTATGTACCGCTGATGCTGTTCTGAAAGCAATTCAAGTAACATCCGCTGATAACCCTCTGTAATGTTACAAAGTGGCTTGGCAGTTGATATTATGCAAATGACATCCACTTACAAATGTTTCTTTCGGCTCTGTAGTGAGGGTGACTGTGTTGCTCTCTTACCTGGCCTTGCTGTTAGGACAAAGTCCACTAGCCACTAGGAATGCCTATTGCTCCTCCGCATCATCAAAAGTTGATTGAGATACAACTGCTGCTGCAGTTGCCCTGAAACTTTGACATCAAGTGAACTGATCAGTGAAACAAAACATCACACTCCATGTTACCACAATTTGGAGCTGTTGAACAGCATGCAACACTTCCTGACAATGGACACTTGACAGGGGTAAAGGCTTCAGTCAGAGGAGCGAAGATGCTGTGGTGGGGAACATTCAGTCAGCAATTTCGGGGTCATTGTTCAGCATTTAAAATAGCTTTAGCTGAATGAATTTGCTGTCCTGAGTGGAATCCCTCAAGTTGACAGCATAACATGGTAATAGAAAGTTATTAATATTGCAGAAGGCATGTATATTGCAGAAGGCATGTATATTGCAGAAGGCATGTATATTGCTGAAGTGGTGAGAGGAAGGGGTAGGGCTGGAAAAGCTGGGGGTGGGGGCTAATGGTAGTTAAGTATGTGACACAATAGTTGTATTAATTGTCAAATTAATTGTTGTATTCAGCTGATGGTATTTCAGAAGCTTTATCAAAAGGCAAACATTTTAAAAACCAACAATTTAAGTGTAATCTTTACCAGTGGTAGCAATGTTATGTTTGTGTTAGGTATTACCAGAGTCAGTTTTCAGCAAAGGGAGACAGGAAACGGGGATTGTAAATTTTTGGACCCTGTTCCTATAATAGAAGGGAGGGCTACATTTTAACTTTTGAATTGACCTTGGTAGATGACTGTGACATCGTGCTCAATAACTGTAGGGTTGATATTGTCTGAAAAGTGCAGGGTTTTGAGTTTTGAGGGAAATTATGAGGGGAAACTGTGAGTGTTATTACACATGCCACATGGTGGATTGAAATTTGCATGGTTAGTTTACCAGTAAGAAAGTCACATTTTCTCACAAGTTACCGTTTGAAAATCCAAAAAACAGGGAAATTGCAATGAAGAGTGTTGCCTTTGTTATTTTGGGGGACTTCCCAGTTTTGCTAGATTGAAATCTCAAAAAACTGGGGGTCCCCAAGTATACAATCGTTGGAAATGGGGCCTGATTTCATGGTTAAGATAACTGTGGAACTTGCCGCTGACATTATTAGTCAAGCTAATAATTGACTCACTTTTGTTGGATTTAAATACTTAGTTGATGTTTGCATATATCAATCAAAATACTTACTGTCTGGCAACACATGCTTAATCTATAATCTGCATCAGAAGGTCACGTCTTTTAAAGCTGGTTTTGATGATTACAATTATGAGATTAAGAATTGTTATTATGGAATTCCTCCGTCTTTGTAGTTTTGCCAATTTTTTGAAGCTTTGAAGCAGGTAACAGTGTTGTAGTTCAGACCATCCCCAAGACCAATCACAAAACCACACGCACGACTATGGACAAGACCAGTCACAAGTAACAGGGTGAACAATGAAAAAGGAATACTTTTCTTGCAGTTTATCTGAATAGCTTGTGACTTGAATTTGAACGAAGTCTTGTGTGTTGATCCTGTGGGGTCTTGAAATGGTTTCAACTACAACACTGGGAAACCACTTGACAAAGTTGCATGTTAAGTAAACGTCGGCTAGAAACCAGTCAACATCCAATGTGGATGAAAGAAATCCTTTGCTCAGATTTCTGTGTTCAAAAGATCCATAAAATTGGCCTCGCTCAACTGAGAATTGTTACATTCCTAGCTGAAAGCAGAAAGTCTGATTGCCTCGCCTCAGTTTTATATATCCCCATCAATGGCTATTTATTTGGATGTGCTATTTAATTTATTAAAGACTTATTCCATTCAAACGTTACTTCAAGTCCAGCGTGAAAGGTTGGAGAACTTTATCTGTTACATCTATAGTTCCACATGTACATCCTGTAAAGAGGCCACACACAGTGCATCATGCCCAGTCTTGAAGAACTGGGGCTGCTTTTTCTAACTGCATCTGTGTAACCTATGAGAATGGTCCACTATTTACAATCCACAAGTCCAAAGGACTGGCCCCAAAACTTGGTTGTCATTAAAGTAATTATCCAACTCATCACATCTC